GCGCGGCCGGGTTGGGGCGCAGAGCCCGCGGCAGTGCGAGCTTTGCCATCTCCCGGCGCCGCATTCTGTTCCCGGTTTCAAAACGCTCCTTTTAAAGTCTCTCTTTCGGGTTCCTACAATTGCAGGAACAAAGCTAGATACAAATGTCCCTTTTACCCTCCTGGAGGGCGACCACAGCTCTAGTTCCGAGGGCAGACACCCGGTCCACGGATGCCACTCGACTCTAAACGTCCAGGCCCCGCAGGTCCTCGCAGGAGCCAGGCTATCCCCAAAGCGCCTCCATCCCCAAGCAGCCCTCCTTGCCCTGTGGGCCCGCATTTCCGCCAGGGGAGCCAGGCAGGCCCGCACCCAGCCGGGTACCACTTGAGGGTCCCGATGCCCCTTGTGAGCCTGCAGTAGGCCAGCCTGCAGACCTGTGCTCCTGCTCCTTGGCGCCCTCAAGGGTATTTGTGGGCTGGGGGCTCATCCTGTTCCCTTCAGTCTTCTTGACTGTGACAAACCTGGGTCATTTTGCCCAAATGCATCAAGTGCTTCCACACACTACTCTGCAGCATAGGGTCCAGTGTGCTCCACCTCGACCCCCACCCTCAGAGGGAGCAGGGACCTCCGTGCCTACCAGGGCATCTGTCCTGTCCTGCCCTCATCTTCACACAGGACAAACAGACTGGAGGAGGCAAGCCCCTGGCCAACGGGGACTGGTAATACCTGGCTTCTCTGCCCAGCCCTGGCCTGAAGCAACCCCCACAAACTGTAGTGGGCAGGGGGTGCAGCAGGGACTGGCAGGCATGACTGGCCTTGGCAGTGCCCCAGGAGCTCCTGGTCAGGGTTGACTTGAACCCCCCCTCCAACCACCCTCTGCAGTGGGTGGCTTCCTCTCCACAGTGTCTCAGAGGTCAGGAGCAATGACCCTCCTGACCCCAGAAGCTGAAGGAAGGGCAAAGAGTTAGGACAGAAGAATTGTACAAGTCTGATCAGCAGGTAGACCCACCCCCAGGGGACCCCAAGGGGCAGGTCGGGGCAGGAGGGGTCCCAGGGGGCATGCAACAAGTCCCAGCCTGACTCAGAGGGACGTCACAGTGAGAGTCTCCAGGGACCCTGGCTCCAGGCAGCTTCCCCATGTGCCTGGTCACACCTGCTGTTTCCAAAACGCCCAGCACCCACTTGCCCAGCCTCCCCAGGCCTGCGAGCTCCACGGTGCATCCCTGCTGGCTGGGGTCACATTCCTCTGATTCCTCTTCCATCTCAGGCCCCACGGCCCACCACCACTGGGGTCTGTGCCCTGCTGTAGGCCCTGCTCCCCACCCCCCCATTGCACCTTTTGGAAACACCTTGCATCATCCCTCAGGTGGCTGGTGCCCTGGGCTTCAGGGACAAGATCTTAGACAAACAGCCCTCAGGCCCCAGAGGCACTCCCAGGAGGAAGCTGCCTCTTCAGACCCAAGTTCCCCCAAGGACAGTCATGTCACGGAGGGTTGTGGCCCGAGTGGTTCTCGTGAGCACAGGGCTGTTGGCCTGGATGGCCCTCCCACTCCCAGCCCAGGGCCTGTGCTGGGGCCCTGAGTGCCCAACTCCACCGCAGAAGGTGCCAGGGCTGAGCTTCGGGCCTAGTCAGGGATAACTCCACAGGGCTGACGGGCCGAGCCCACACAGGGCCAGGACAGCAGGCACAGGGGCAAGGAAGCACCCCATTCCAGAGGCAGGGAGGGGACAGGGAAGGGGGCCAAGGGGAAGGACGAGCCCTTCCTACTCCCTGTCTGAAGACTGGCCTGATACCTGGCACCGGGTGCTGGATGGGAGCCAGGGCCAGCAGGACTGGGTGCAGCCCTCCAGACAGCAGCACACCCATCACCCCTCTTCCCACCAACAGCTTGTGGGTGAGGAGGGGGTCCCTGCTCCATGGACAGATATAACAGGAATCCAGGAAGGAAGCAGGAGAGGGCGGGCCCAGGCAGAGGCCACTGTCTTCCTCCTCTGGCGCCCTCTGCCCAGCCCTCTCAGCCGGCCTGCGGCCTGCGTGAAGCCAGCTCACCCCTGGCGCCCAGCCCTTCCTGCTTCCTGGCTGGGTTCACATGTTGCACTCCACCACTTCCCGGCCCAGCTCCGGACTCCACAGCTCCCTGGGTTGCTGCCTGAGACCCATCCTATGTTGGGTTCCTTGGTACCCTGGCCATAGTGACCCACAAGGATGGTAAGTCCCTGCCCCTCTCCCAGGGATCATCCTGGCTGTGCCAAGCCCAGGGTAGCCCTCTGTCCGGCCTCCCAGCCCACACCTTCAGCCTGGGAAGCCCTGACCTTATACAGCATGGACTCCCCAAGACCAAGACAAGTCACCTCCAGGACCCCAAGAAGGCCTCCCCCTTACCCATTCCCCTTTGCCTCACCTCTCCCCATGGCCAGTCGAGGTGGCCCAGGTGTAGCCTGCACACCTTCCCTGGGCCGGGCAGCCCTCCACCCATCCAAGTCCTCTTGCCCACCCACCTTTGGAGCCCCTTTCCCAGCCCCTCTTTTTTCCCTGTCTTTTTCTTTTTGGTACCGGGGATTGAGCCCAGGGGCACTTAACCACTGAACTTTTTGTTTTATTTTTTATTTCCAAAAAGGGTCTCACTAAGGTTCTTAGGGCCTTGCTAAGTTGCAGAGGCTGACTTTGAATGTGCAATCCCCCTGCCTCAGCCTCCTGAGCTGCTGGGATTATACTGACAGTCTCAGGATAGGACTTGGCTACCTGTACTCCCACCACATGCCCCTGCAGGCTGGTGGCCCTCCAGGCCCCAACACCGCTACCTGTGCCTACTTCTCTACCCAGATATCTAACAAGCATCTTGGGCTATAAAGGACCAGTTGCCTGGGCAACAGCCAGACCCTGTCTCAAAATAAAATAAAAAGGGCTGGGATGTAGCTCAGTGCCCGAGCCCTTCCCTAGCATGTGCAAGGCCCTGGGTTCAATCCCTAGGACCACAAATAAAACATCATAAACTTACATGCCTCAAAGGACACTATTGAGAGAGTGAGACTGGCACCATACAAACAAGCAAATCAAAAACACCTGAGGAGAGATACCCGTAGAAAGGGGGAAAAGTCTGACAATCGTATTGCCAGTAAGAGTGTGTTTTCCAGAATATACAAAGAACTCTTACAGCCCAACAACAAAAACGGGCAAAGAACTTTGTCATGGTGTGACTCTAGGCTTGTGTGTGGAAGGCTTGGTTCCAATGCAGCAGTGTCCAGAGGCGAGACTCTGGGAAGTGATCAGATCGTGAGGACTGTGACCTCATCAGTGGATGAATCCCTTGGTAGATTCAGAGCTGAAGGGACCGCCGGGAGGTGGTGGACCGTAGGACGTAGGGCCCAGTTGGAGGAAGAAGGGCACCGCGGGTGTGCCCTGGAGGGGCACAGCTTGTCGCCAGCCCCTTCCCCTCTCCTCTCTCTGCTTCCTGAGTGCCCTGAGGTGAGCACCTGCTTGCTATGGTGTTCTGCCTCACCACAGGCCCGCAGGGATGGGGCCAGCGACCATGGACTGAAACCTCTGAAACTGCAAGACAAAATAAATCTTTCCTCCTCTAAGTTTATTTTCCCAGGTGTTTTGTCACAGAGACATAAAGATGAGTAACATAGACTTGAGTAGACATTGCTCCAAAGAAGACCCAGGGATGGCCAATAAGACAGGGAAAATACTGCAGGTCACTACTGGTCGCGGAGAGATACCACTTCAAGCCCACCAGGAATGGCTATTGTCTTTTTTAAAAGGAGACAAGTTGGTCATCTGTGTAGACATTGGGCCCCCTCGCGCTGCTGGGAAGGAAAGCGGTGCAGCCGCTGTGGGACCCTCGTTCAACGTGGAGCCACCTCATGACGAGGCAAATGTTCAGACAGGAACTCGGCCAGGTGTCCTCCGCAGCTCGATTCACAGCAGTAAAAGGCGGGCACTGCGATGTCGGCGCAGGCCAAAGGGGTACAGCGCCGGCCAGAGCGGCCTGGGAGTGACCAGCGGGAATCCCTAGAGCGCTGAGGACAGTGGCCAGGATGGAGGCCCAGGGGAAAGGGCAGGCCTGCTCGGTGTCCAGGGGCCGGGTGCACTGCAGCATCAACACCCGCAGGCGTGCTCTGGCTGTGGAGCTTGGCCAGACCCCTGGTGAACACTGGAGGTGGTTCTGCCGGACATCCTGGGTGAAGGGCAGCTCCAGAGCACTCTGGTTGAGGCCCTGGGACCCCCTCCGGGTGGCCCAGTTACCTGACAGGGCCCAACAGGGCCATGGGCAGGGGCTTGGGAAAGCTTTGCTCTCAGAGGCACCTGTGGGCCCTGAGCCAGGCCCCTCGTGGACTAGACCTCATGGAAGCTGGGGGCTGATCTATCTGCTCCCCAGCTGGCGCCCCAAGTACAAGCTGTTTACCTGGCAGGCGTCGGGGGAGCCAAATCCCAGGGCACCATCCCAGGAGGCGAATCCCCATACCAGCTGGAGCTCCCTTCCTGAAGAAGGCGCTGGCCGGGGAGGCCAACAGAGCCCAGGCTGCAGCGGTCCAGCAGCCCTGAGAGCGGCCCGCTGGCTCCTGGGCGCCGTGTTCTGACCCTCGGGACCATGCCTGCCTTTGTCCCTGCTCCTGGAGTCACTGTGTGACCTGCTCCAGGCTTAGGGCTCTGAGGTGTGGGTAGGAAGCCCGGGTCCCCTGCACTGGTCACCCAGGGTGTGTACGTCCCCGCTCACCTGCCCCAGGGGCCCCTCTGAGCACACCAGCGTCTGCGGGTGACAGGAGGTAGGGGAGGAGGTTGGGGGCCCAGAAATTGTCCCAAGGGCTCAGAGCCCCAAGGCCTAGCTAGGTGGCTACCTCTGGGCCGTCCCTTTTACACACCCTGATGCCCACCCACCTGGCTTCCTCCTGTGGGCAGAGGTGTATGTCCCTGCATCCCTGTCCACTTGTGGCCACTCTGCCCTTTTATCTGTGTTTGGGTCCATAGTACCCCTACCCCAGAAGATGCCCCCGAGGATGCCTGGGGAGGGAAGACTTGGGCCTGCTGCACCCCAGGGCTTCACCCCAGTATCCCCTCAGGCCAGGGGGTTCCTGACCTCGGTGAGGAGGAGAGGCCCTGGGCTGTGTTCTCCCAGCTGTCCCTTGTCTCTGCAGGTAGGTGGACACTTTGAGAAGCCAGTGTCTCGGAGATGCCTTGGCTGACCTTGTCAAGGTCATGCCTCACCCCTGCAGTCAGGCCCAGGGCTCCAAGAGGGGGCAGTCAGAGCTGCAGGTGTTAGTCAAACTAACCTCAGCTATAAAGCCAACCACCAGTGAAGCACTTCAGCTGGAGCCAAGCCCAGGTTTTAGCCACCAAGCTGGCGGGGACCACCTGGGCTGCTGCTTCTGCCACCCAGCAATCTCCCACCTCCTGCCTTTGTGCTGGGTGTTGCACATTGACCCAACAGAGCCCTTAGTTACGGCCCCTCCCTTCCCTGCCACCAGGGCCCCAGGAACCTGAGGGAGGCTGTCTGGGGTCCTTATGGGGTTAGCCTACAGACATCGGAGTCTTCTGTGGTGCTCTTCCAGGGGTGAGGGTACCTGAGGCTGGCAGCCATTTCCTTGCCAAGCAGAGAAGGAGCTACCACCTAGGAAAGCAAAAACAGGGTGGGCCACAGAGCCCTAACTCCTCACTAAGGGCCTGGATCCGACTATACCGGATGCCCAGATATCTGCCACTCAATTTCCCATTTCCACACAAGCTGGTTTAAGCTTCTACCACTTGCTACCTGACTCCTGTGTTTCATGCAGGGATTCTGCTTTGCCTGTTCATGGATACCTCTTTCTCCATTAGAAAGTTTTGTGTTTTACACCAGGAATGAGGGTGACACTGGGTGGAGTCAGGACTTGGGTATCTCCCCACATGCAGTTCCAGGGGGCATGCCCACTACAGGAAGCCCAGAGAGGAGAGCAGATCCTCTCACCTGGCTCCTAGAGGCAGCCCCCTCTGGCCAGGTCTGAGCTGCACACCTGAGTCCTTGTCTCGGCTCGGCTGGGCAACACCGTCAGCCTCCAGGAGCTGCCTGAACTTTCCCTAGGCTTCTGGTCCAACTCTGCGGAGGGAGAAACATGCCCTCTGCCCCACCTGGCACTGCACGATTTCCTGCTGTCTTCCATGTTTTGGTGCCCTTGCACAGGGATGTCTGGTCTATGGCTGAGGTGGGAGACCAGGAGGGTCAGGAGCCAGTGGGATGGGAGGCTGGGGACAGACGCTGGCTCCCTGTACTTGTGGGAAGGACTTCAGGGATCCTTCAAGGTCTGCTGGGGCCCACAGGCAGCACTGGCCTCCTCCCTGAGGCCCCGCCCTAGCTCTGCTGCATAGCATCCTCCTGAAGGCATACCTGTGACCTCGCCAGGCACTCCTATCTGGTCACCATCTTCCCCTGGTCTGCAGGCCACTCACCACCAGGTCTCTCCAGTCTACACCCTTACTGTCTCACTAACCAGTCCACATAGAGCTGCCCACCCAGCTCTCCCTATGTTCCTCCTCATCCCTTCCAGCAAGCTGACAGCTGTGCGGCTGGACAGGACTCTTGAGGTAAGGGCCTTGGTCCTGCCCATTCCCAGTGCACTTGGGCAGAGTGCCAAGGGTTAGGGAGGAGTGTGGTCTCCCCCGGAGTGTGGCCCTGTTCCTTCACCAGACCCTGCCTTAGGTAGCCTGCAGAAACTAATTAAAGCTTTCCTCTTGGTCACCTACATTCTGCATCCCCTGGGCACCACGTGCTCTTCCCTGTCCTTGCAGTGTGGAGGCAGGGCCAGGCTCCATCTCACCTCCTGGAGGCAATGTGGAGGTCCGCATGGTGGACCAGTGTTGAGCAAGACAGGGACAGATACCCAGCAGGACAAAGGGGCAGTGGCCTCTCCACTCCTGCCCTCTTACTGTATCCGGATATGGAGAGTCACTCTGCAGCTGTGAGAGAGAGCCTTCAAAGCCTGGCTGGAGAGAGGCACCTGGGTGCGTCCAGGCCTTGCTTTGGGTCCCAGTCACGTGCACAGATTGTTTGAATAATTCAGATTTAAAAAGACCTACTTTCCCGTTAGACCATTTCCTGCTGAAGAGCAGATGGGGGAGGGGCATCCGAGTTATACATCCAAGCTCCCTGGGTTTTGAGAGAAGGCTGGGCGCCAAGCCAGATCCTGGGCAGTGCCTCCACCCTGGGGCCCTGCTCAGCTCTGCAGCTGACCGCTGGCCTGGCCCTCGGCAGGCCGATGTCTATGATCCTTGTGGAGAAGGTGGTGTCGCGGGAAGGGATCAGGAGAAGCCTTGGGCTCCTGGCTGAAGGATTTTTGCCCCACTGTGGAGGGGGCTGGGTGGCAGATATGAACCAAAAAATACAAAGGCCTGGGCTGAAAGAAGTGGAGGGTAGGTCAGGGAGGACAGAAGCTGGGCCCTTTGGACCTTCTAAGGTACAAAGGGGAAGGCTGGCTCCTTATCATCTGCAGGGAGGGGCCCTGGCTGGAGTCTGGAAGCTCCTGAGGGTTCCCGGTGGGTTTGGCCAAGGTCTAAGGCACCTGTCCCCAGGGCCAGAGGCCTGACTGTGCATATCCGAAGGCGACAGAATCAGGTGGCAGCCTCCTCCCTGGCTCAACTTTGCCCCTCACACCCCCTCCATAAACACATAAATGAGGATTTCTGTCAGGGTTGTAGGGTAAGTCTCAGGGAAGGTACCACATCACCCCAAATGCCTACAGATGACATGCAATCCCTGGGGCTGCACCTCCAAGGGGGAAGGCTGGGGCAAGCACTGGGCTGGTGACTTCACGTGTGGCTTTTCTCCATGGTTCTGGGCCCAACTGCATGGATGGCCTCAGGGCCCAGCCTCAACAGTGCCTGTGCTGCCCAGTCTGACCTCCCCGACCAAGGCCCTGAGCCAGGCATGCAAAGACCCAGGAGGGCAGGGTCTGGGCCTGAAGGTCCCACAGCAGCAGAGAAGCCTTGCTGCTGCCTCTGTGTCCCCTCTAACTCACTCGCTCTTCTCATTTCTACTTTAAATCCTTGACTGAGGCGGGAATTAATGGGTGGCACCAGCCCTGTGGGATCTGAGGACAGTCTCTGACCCTCAGAGTCTGGGACCCACCTGCCAATGCCCCAAACCCCTGCCCCTCTGCCTTTCCATTGTCCCCTGGCACTGAATGTGCTCCATGCTCCATCACTCTTAGGAAGACACCTGAGGATATCCATGTGGCTGTGTGCACATATAGGTGTGTGCACGTGGACACATCTGCTCCCACCAGCTGACTCCTGGTGGGCACTAGAATCAGGGATACCCCAGTGGCAGTGAGCACTCAGGCAGCACCTGGATCTGGCTGCTCACGACTCCTGCCACTAGCTCAACCAGGGCTGCTGGGGAACTGACCTAGTTCAGGGTTGGGGCAGGGAAAGTACAAAAGGAACCGCGAGTGTCTTGTGTCAAAAGCAAGGAGGGACTCCTGGGTGTCTGGGTATTGACAGGAAGCACCCAGAGGAGAGGGGAAGAGAAGGCCTCCTCTGTAGGAGGAGCAGGGAGTAGGATGGAGAGAAGGTTGTGGACGCTCTGGAAGCTGCATTTATTTCTTCCAGTTAGACAAAACAAGAAGGGCAGCCCAACTGCGGGGAGGCAAAGAAAGGTGCCTAAGGGTGCAGGGAGGATGGTGGGAAGCAGACTGCAGGGTGATGGGCCACCTGGGGGCTATGGCGCTGGATTCTGGAAGGCCAGTGGATAGGGCCTAGAGGAAAAAGGGCACTGGGCTTTGTTTGGAAAGGACAGCACCCGGGCTGAGGGGGGCGGTAAGGTGGGAGTGAAGAATCAGGTGAGGTGGAGGAGGTGAGGGGTTGGGAAGGGGGGTCGGAAGGCGGCAGGAAAGGCGGATGGGCCCGAGGGTAACCCGTGGTCCCCGAGGTTTCAGAGGACACCAGCCCTTCCTGACCGCCTTCCTGCGCCCCTGGGTTTCGCGTTCCCAGCTCCCCCGCGCACCGTCCACCCCTTCCTTGGCCTGGGCTCCAGGCGCCTGCCGACCCTCCTGGCCGCGTCCCCGCGCCCAGCCTCCGAGGTGGGACCTGGTGCCCATTCGCTGGCCTCCCCACAGGATCACTGTCCGCCGGCCCAGGCGGCTCCGCACAGGAACCGAGCTACCTCCCAGGGTCCAGCAGGCCTAGGGCCCGCGGCTGCCGGCGTCGCGGGAGTGGTTTTCCCGGGGGGTTCCCGTTCGGGGCCTACGGCCGTCGCGG